GCTCCTTCCCTCCCAATCCTGCTCCTTCCCTCCCCTGTGTCCCGGGGAGCAGCCCCAGCCCTGCAGTGGGGGGCACAGGGCTGAGCATCGCATCTTGCACCCTGGCAGGGATCGAGCTGACGCTGCGGGTGCAGAAGGACATGAGCCCCAAGGCCACGCTGAAGGAGTTCAAGGAGAAACTGGAGGAGGAGAAATACCGGAGGGAGCTGAAGGCGCTGAAGGAAGAGGTGGAGGCCTTTGCAGGGACCTTCCCGCTCCCGGGGCTGCCTGTCCTGTAAAGGGATGCTCCTTCCCTGCTCCTGGAGCCGCAGAAGTACCCGGGAATGCAGCACAGAGACCAACACCCCCCGGTGCCTTCTCCCAGCACCTACCTCCCTGCTGGTACCGGCTGTGGTGCCGCAGCAGCAGCTCCTCGTTTTTTGCCGCTCCTCGTTGGGCTCCTTCTCACCCCCCACGGGGGGTGCAGCCCCTTCACCACCCAGTGTTACAATCAGGACCAAGCACCAGGTAATGTTCTGCCTCATGGCCAGGTCTGATCCAGCTCTCCCTGGCCATGGAGAAGTAGATGAGGACATCACAGGAGGAACATGGTGGGGCAACCTCTATGGAAGCCACCCCTCCTGCAGCCAGATGTGCAGTGCTTGGCTGCACAAGAGACTTCACAGCGCTGCTAAAAGCCTCCCTGCTCTCCATTTGCACCTTCCAGCCTCCACAGGCTTGGACGAGGCCACGGTCTTGTCCCCAAGGGGCCCTCCCGGGATCACCATCCCGTCCTATCCCGCGTCTCCGGGATCTTCTCAGTTCTCTGAGCACAAAGTTGAGGTTAGAACCATTTTTTAATAAGCACGCTCAAATTAAGAATGGAACCACAACGTATGACAAGAATTAGAAGCTTTAAAAAATACAACCAATGGTTTTGTTTTTGGTTTTTTTTTTTTTGTTTTCTTTTGTATTTCAAAAATATCTGAACCCAAATAAATAATTTTCTTTTTTTAAAAGTACATTTCTCAGACGAGTCATTTGGTGTTAACATCTGTTAAACTCTGGGGTTTAACACTTACAGCCACGACACTGAGACATGCTGCTTGGATTCCTCCCGGTCACACTCGCTCTGACTACGGCCACAAGCATTCGGCACACACAGGCACACGCACACACACGGAACTCCACATGCAGGAATAGGATACAGTGCTTTCCAATGAGATGAGAGGATTCAGCACAGCCTCCTCGCAGCCCTCAGAGGCGGCTCTGAGCCCGGCCCCATCCCTGTGCTGGCACCGAGCCGCCGGGGGGACCGGGTACCCTGTTTCTGCCTTCCAGTTAAAACACATCCCAGGGACCCCTCCATTCTGGGGCTACATTGTGCTCCTTGGCCATCGTGCTCCTGGGGCACTCTCCACCTCAGCAGCTCTGAGTCCCCATCACACCTTGTTACAGGAGCCTTTTCAATGCCAAGACACCGAATCCATAACATGGGCTGTCACCCACCACCGGAATGGGGGGCTCAGGGTCCCCTGTGCTCAAGAGAACCCAAACAACTGGCCTGGGGACATGGAGCCACCACCTCCCACCCTCAAGCGCCTCTCCCACCCCTTACAACACGGTGAATATTGCTAGAGTATAGGCAGTACTTCCCCTAGTCAAGGCAAGGCAGCTTTGAGGAGCTGCTTAGAAGTGATTGCTCCCGGATGAAAGTAAATCCGAGCACTGTTCTCTGAGACGTGAATCCTGCGTAGGGTTGAGATTGCCTACTCCTATGGCTGACCCTCCTTGGGTGGGATCTGCAGGGCAGCAGGCTGGGCTGGAGCAGAGCAGGGGGAAGAACAGGAGTCTCCCAAGCAGAGGGGTTAAAGAACAGGGGAGCTCCATCAGGCTCAAAGCCTCCCCTCCCCGACAGCCAGCAGCGAGAGGAGGGAGCCAGGGCTGCCATGTGGGAGATGGGAACATGCTGGCAGCACTCAGGGCAGCAGCGAGGGCCATGCAGAGCTGAGGGAGGGCTGCTCAGTATTGCACTGTGAGGAACCTGCCCTGCTCAGGGTGGAAGCTGCAAACACACATGCCAAGGTTCCCTGCGGGAGCTGTCAGTGCGAGGAGTGTAACTTGTTAGAAGTCTGTTTATACCAGAAACTAGTGAGGTCCCACAGAGAAAATGAGGGAAACATCTTAAAGTGCCAATACAGGGATCTGTTCTGTACAGGAACAGGGGTCAGACAGAGAAATTACTGAGCAAAGAGGAACTGAGCTCCAAAACCATGCAAAGCACTCGGGCTCCCCACCCCAATTCCTACTGCCATTAAGGCACCACGAGCAGCGAGGGCAGCCCAGGCTCTGGCTGCACCAAGGTGCCACAGCCCCATGTAATTCCCCCTTTCCTAGAGCGCATTTTGCTGCCATGAGCCAGATTCAGGAGGACAAACACGCCGAGATGTGTTCCCCCACAGCTCCTGCTTAAAAGCAGAGCTGCAGATAGTGCAGAGCTCCTGCTCTGGAACAGGCACCCAGGGCATCCTCCCAAGCCAGAGCTGCTGTGTGGCGGGGAGATGAAGCAGGTCAGGCAGGTGACGGTGCAAGTATTGCTCAACACGGCCTTGAACATCAGCTACTACAGGTTTGATAGAGGGAGCAATGAGTTATTTATCAATTATGAGTGCAGCTGAACACCAGAGGTCGAGACCACTGTGAGGAAGAGCTCAGGCAACGCTGGTCACCCGTCCAGCTCTGTGCTGTCAGCCTGGAGGGAGACAGCAGTGAGTCAGCAGGTTTTTTCTCAAGCCCCATTTCCAGCAGGAAACACGCTCCCACACCGAGCACTCCTCCAGAGCCACATTCCAGGAGGGATGCAGGAGCTTTTCACTCCCTGGTGTCACCTGCATTACTCATTTACCAAGATGCCTCCTTCCCGAGGGAATCTTGACTCAGCTTCGGTGTGGAAGCTGCCCGGGTGCACACGAACGGACCAGGGGACACCTCAAATCACCTTTTTGATGGACACAGAAGTCTTTCACCAGCAGATCCAGTTCACGCGCGACAGGAGGGCACAATTCAGAAAGGATGAGGCCTTTAAACATGCTTTAAAGGCATTAAGCCCTGCGACAAGCACTCTGCTCACCTTCAGCCACGCTGCTTCCCCTCTGTGACCACTCCCACTCTCACAAGTAATCCCTGACCTTGGAAATCCCTCTGGAGAGTACCACAACCCCACTGTACACCACCAGCAACAACACTGACATTTAGAACAGCCTTTATGCCTCGAATGTAAAAAGGAAAGAGGCAGCAGTGGTGCTGAGGTGCAGATGCTGGTGCCCACAGCCTGCCCAAGAAGCCTCCTTGCTTTCAGGACACCGGTTTTGGAGCGGTGTGGTTCTTACAGCAAGTTTCAGTGGGTCTGAGCCATGTCTGTATAAAGAACCTTCCCTGGACGCGGAAGGGACATCACCTTCACCTCCAGCACTGCCTCACAGCATCACCAGGAACAGAGCTTTAAAGAAATAAACCCAAAGCAAACAACACATCAGCTCATTTTGTACAATCTCCGCTGTTCTCCCCACGTAATCAGAGTGCTAAAGCACAAATAAAACCAAGGCTGTCTTCCCTTGCAAGGCTTTTCTTGCTTAGGAGCACCACAGGGGCTGCTACTGCCACTTGGCACCAGGCAGAGCAGACCACAGCCTGGGACCAGTGGCCGAGGAGCAGCACCTCCTCTGAGACTCCACACGGAAGCGCTGTGCCCCGGCGCTGACAGGAACAACGTGGGGCTGTCACCACGCCGGTGGCACAACCTCTATGGCACAGGCAGCAGCAGAGAAGCTTTGAAAGGAAAAGTCCTCAACATCCAGGCTCAGAAAGCAGGAGTTCTTGCCCCGTCCAGAGCTACCCCAGAGCGCCCTAGGAGAGGTAGTGGAGACATGACAAAGGCCAGAAGCAGCATGCAACGACACTGACCCTGCTGTGCCACACAGCACAGAAGTTAACTCCATCATAGAAATATACCAAAACAAAATAAACTATTACAGATATGACACAGAACCTGGTATATCCATCCCTGATCTCTGCTGAGCACTTGTATCTCACCAGCCAGGCAGCGGCTTTACCAGCCTGCTGTCTCACAGCATCACTTCATTGCACTGTTTGATCCTCCCATCACAAAAAGCACCTAAAAATGAGGCTCTCCCCACTCATTTCAGCCCTCCAATCTCTCTATTTAAAAGGCCTCCATCAACCTCACGTGCTCTGGGGATTCCCATTGCTTTCCCACCCTTCTCAGAGGTGCAAACAGGACATGACAAGTTACAAGGCACAGTGCTCTACATTCATGGCAGCGGGTGAATCCTTCCACATTCTGGATCTTAACAAAGCTGAGAGAAACTGGAAAACACTTTCTGGAGAGAAGCACATGTGCTTCCACTGTGCTCCCACCCACCCAGGGACAACCTGTCCCGGGAAGTGCCAGGAAACTTGGATAAACACAGAAGAGAACACCATCCGCTGCACCCAGATGGGTAACTGCAAGCTGCCACCCTGCCAGCGAGCTTCTGAGCTACACTCACATGAGATGTGAGTGGATTAAAACCTTCACGTGGCCTTTACATCTCCCCTCTGGTCTCCACCCAGGCTCCTCGGAAGGGACCAACAGCATTTAGGGATCTGGCAGAAGCATGTGGAACACTGCGTTGTTTTGAGGGCTGCGCACTAGTACTGATCCCCGACACAGCCCACCTCTCTCCATGCCCTATTCCCCCTGGGATGCTGCCATGAAAAGTTAACAGTGCCCCTTCTAACATTAAGAACAGAGTGCCCGGTGGTTTAGGTGATGGAACATCTACGTTCTGGGCTACAGGGAACAGAAATCCAGTCCCTCAGACAGGGATTTCTGCGGAGCAGAGACGCTCGCAAACGCATCAGCTTCTTCACCCCTTCCTGGTGTATGAGAACTACTGCGGACAGCGATGTGAAGCAGGGATGAGCTCTGTCAGACCCCGGTGCAGATGGCCCACAGGAGGCTAGATTTTGTACAAAAAGCTGGGCACATAGTCAAAGCGGAGCAGAGGGCTCACCCCCTGCCCGGGTTCCTGAATGTACTGCAGCTTCAGCAGCTCTGCCAGGTACTGCACGATTTTGATGTCTTCATTGACCAGGCCAAGTTGAAGCTTCAGAAAGTTCATCCTACGATTCACAACGGATTCTTCGGGTTCCCTTTCGCTGATGGGAAGGTGCAAATGGTGGCAGAAGGTGAAGAGGAAGGCTTTTGAACACAGCTGGGTGAGGATGCTTTGGACGTGCATATAGTAGGTGCTTCCTCGCTTGATCTGCGTGCGGTGATCGGCCAGCCGGGACACCAGGGAGCCTTTGTAAAGGGGGCAGCGCAGGGTCTTACTGTCAGCGTCCAGGATGCTGATGTAGCGGCTGTAGCGGCTCAGGGCGTGCAGCACGTTCACCCCAGCGGGAGACACCGGCCTGGAACAGCAAAGAGAGAGGTCACGCCTGGAGGGGACCCCGCAGGGAAGCAGCAGGTCGTGTCCGTGCCCCTGTGTTGCACTGACTTTCCCTTAGCTCAGGAGTCTCTGCGAGGAAGTACAGTCTAGCGGGGAAGAGAATGGCCAGATCATCTCTCCAAGCTGCCAGATCCCAAAGAAACCTCAATCCATAGATCCCCGCATGCCCTGATCCGCACTTCATAAACCACCGCGCTCTGGGGCAGCCTTCCTCCCTCAGTGACAGCGAGTGGGAGCAATAGGACATCTCTGGTGAACAGAAGCAAATCTTCCTTCTGGATGTGACAACAAGGACCCCAAAACCCAAACGTGCCCCCCACACCCCTTGCCAGGAGCTCTGCTTTGGGAGGGAGTTGCTCTGAGCTGGGCAAAGCCCTGAGAGCAGCAAAACCTTCTGCCCTTCCTTTACAAAGGGATCCCTCCCAAAACCAGAACATTCCCTGGCTGAGCCTGGGCATTTCTCACTCAGGTGCAAACCCACAGCATGTTCACAACATGCAATTACCCAACAAGCCCAAATGTATGTTATTTAAATGCAAATGACAAGCCTACGCCAACTCTACCTTCTGCTCCTCACTTCTGCGTGGGTAAAGTCGCTCGGTTGAGAGACAGCTCCCAGCCTCCAACCAGGAGCTCCAAGCTCGTGGTGTCAGGGCTGCTCCTGTGCCCAGGCACTGTCTGGCCTTCGAGACACAGTGTCCTTACCAGAGGAGAGAATTCAGCCTGTAAATCCCTTCCCAAAGCCCTGGTCCAAAATGGTTTGCTGAGAGCCCCCACATTAAACTCGACACTCCATTCGCATTCCGTGAGGAGCGTTGAAATGATTGACACATGTTACAAGCAGCTCTCCAAAATAAAAATGACTTTTGTTTATAGAAATTGCAGCTCACCACAAACATTGAGCAAGGAGGGAACACTTGGGGCTTTAAAAAACCTCCCCGACAGACAGGGAAGTTTGGGAGTGGTTGTTGCAGAGCTGTCATCCTGCCTCACCAGCACAGAAATGAGGGTAAACTCACAGCTTGAGATAGTTTCATCATCCACAACCCCCAGCAACTCAGTTCTCAGCAGCTCAGAGAGGAGATGCCTCTATTGTTTGATTTTCATGCTGCTCAGAAACAAGCTTTCGGGAGGCTCTGGGCAATGGGCTGCCACTTTGACTCATGTTTTCCATGCTGGTGACAGCAGTGGCCATTCCCTGTCCTGCACCCAAAGCACCAAACACATCCTGGTAACACACAAAGAAAATCCTTTCCATAACAAAGGCAGGGATGAAATCTTGAGAGCTGAACAGTTGCTATTTGTCAATATAAACCACGAAGCCACATTTTAGGTTGGGGTGGTGGGGAAGGGGTGTTTGCCTTTGTGATGGTCTTCACCCTGAGCAGAGGTTTCCCTTGCATCTGACCTGCAATCCCACCACCACAGCTCCCTGGAGCTATTTTCCTGCACTAAAGCTTGTTATAAATAAGCCTTTGTCCATCTGCACTCCCCAAAGGGCTCCACACCTCTGCCCTAACCCATGACACCCAGCTGCAAACCCTCACCAACACAGCCCAAGGTCCAGTTTCTGACCTGCTGCACCTCATCTCTTCATTAGGGTCCACAAGGAAAAACCCTCCCTGTATCAAAGCATCCATTTAGACCCCAAAATTCCAGTTAGAAACATCAGAGGTAGGAACACAGAGCACACAAGGAACTCCAGGAGCACTCCTAGACCCTCCTGGAAACCAGCAGGACTTGTGTTTGTTCTCTGCTTTGCCAGACTAAGACCTAAACCCGAAGGAAACCTCCTGACCAAAACACCAGCATGAGCCAAAAAGCCCCCAGATGTTTTAAATATCAACTCCTAAGTGAGGCTGGAGATAAAGAGACAAATCTCCCCCCTCCAAAATACATCCCACAAGCAGAAATTCAGGACAGCAGCGTAGTTAGAGACCTCCCTGTGCACCCATTGGAAATTCCTGCTTAGGAGATGATGTTTCATCATACACCTTAACATGACAAAGCAAATAGACCCTGGATTTACCTCTGGAGCCCGATCAGCTTCCACTTCTGGAAATCCACGACGTGCAGAGGGGAGGTGACCCAGTGCTTCACGGGCTTGGCGTAAAGGCCACAGTTGGGCACGAAGATGGAGAGTGCCGTCACGAGCTTCTTGACTATGGCTTCCTCCTCCCCCAGCACGATGAGGGTCCTGCCGCTGAGCAGGGAGTAGATGGCAGGGTGGGCAAAGGGGTATTGCCTGATGAACCTCAGTGCGTTCTGCCCAGCCTTCTTCTTGTGCCTGTCAGCCCCCTGGCAGGCAGGGTGGGCTGGAGAAGGGGTCCTGTCAGAGCACGTGGAGGCAGCGCTGCTCATATAGCTCGTGGAGTCCGAGCACTCATCCAGGCTGCTCTTACTGACCTCCCTGCTGCCCGCCAGGTAGCGGGAGTCAAGCTCGTAGGGCAGGAGCCCCCCTGAGATGCCATCGTGGGAGGGGAAGCTCCCAAAGGTGCTGTGCAGCCCCGGTTCAGCTGCCCGGTATGGCTGCGGGGGGATCCTGACCACGCCGTCCTCATCGCAGGGCTTGTGTCCCAAGTCAGGCAGAGGCTCGAGGAAGTTGGGGCTCTCCTTCCCGATACAACAGGCAGAATCCATCTGCACTAAGTTTTCCTGGTTTGAAACATCTTCCTGCTCGTCAGCATCGTCCGGGTTCAGTTTGGGGGTGAAGCGAAGGCCTCCCTCTTCATCCCCCACGTAGGGCTCCTCGTTAATGGCACTTGGGTAACTTGCTTTGAAATCCTCCGGGATGAGCGACTCGGAGGGACACGTGCTGAGGACCTCGATGCTGTCCTCGCTGACGGTCCTCCTGCTGCCCACCTTGCTCCTGCCCGCCTGGGGGCTGGGGCTGATGGGCAGGCTGGCCTGGCTCTCTGACTTTGGCAAGCCAGAGGCAGACTTCTCCGTTCCCAGAACCTCGATGCTCTCACCACTGCTGATGCTGCCTTTGATATCTGCATCGAGGTAATCCAGGTTCTCCTGGTGCTCAAATGTCACAGACTCGGTCATTTGGGGTTCTTGGGAGTCCTCAATTTCCTGCTCCATCTTGATGGGCACGCACTCAACGCTGGACTTGTAGGATCCCAAGCTGATGACCACTGTAGGAGCAGGGAACTCTTCCGAACACTTTCCATCCATAGCATCATGACTGTGCCCCTGGCAGCCTCTGTATTGTTTTTCAGGTGGTTTCTCATCCAGACAAGACACATCCTCAAAGAGGAAGTTAGTTATGGTCTGTTGCCTTAGCAGGGCCCTGCTGATCTGCTCTGTCAGGAGGTAGCACACGTCTCCCCTGAAAGTCCTCTCGATCTGGTGCAACTGGTCAAGGGTTTGGGTGAAAAAATACACATCACAGAGCTCCTCCAGCGTCTTCAGCTTCTTGTCAAAGCATTTGGCAGACTTGGCTTTGATGAGCTTGGGGGTATAGGACGGCACATGGGTGTAAAGGTGAGTTTCAGCAGGGTCGGAGGTAGTGGGGTCCCGATCGCAGCCCGTGTTGGCCTGATCCAGCAGCGCACACTCCGGCTCGTAGGGGTGGAAGTCGGACTCCTTCAGCTTCCTGTAGGGATATGACCTGATTTGTTTCAGCAGGTCTTGGTGCTCGATGATGGACTTCTCCACGCTGGCCAGCTCGTTGGCTTTCTCAATGGCCTGGGTCGTGTAATACCCTTTGTCATTGGCTTTCTTCTGCACCTCGGTTTCGTTGTGCAGGACAGTCCTGGTGTAGTCGAGATCTTTCAGTTTCTTTTCCAGTTCATTAGCAAAAGCTTTCCGGTTCCCTGTCTTTAGGCATTCGGAAGCTTTGGAAAACTCAGCAGAGAGTTCCTGGAACTGCTGCATGATTTTGTGCTCATCAGCAGAAATATAGGCCATGCAGAAGGGCCTCACAAACCCTCTGGCTTCCAAGTCATACAGAGTCAAGTGGTGCACGTAGGCAAAGGCTCCCTCCTTCGAGTCCCCCAGCACCACTTTGGAATCCTCCACGAAGTTCAGCTTCGGGTAGGCAGAGCCAGGAGGGTGCCCCACGAAGGAAGCCTGGTAATCCACAGACATGATCCGCAGGGAGAAGTAATTGAGATCGAAAGTACCCGACACTTTGGCGTCATCGGGGATGGTCAGGAGGGGCTGAGGCCCCACTTGCTCCGAGAACTCGGAGATGAGGATGAAATCCCGGCTGAACTTGGAGCTGGCGACCTTGGCCCAGGGGTTGGCGCCGTGGCTGGCGAAGGGGAACAGCGGCACCGAGTACTCCTCGGGCAGCGGCGGCTCGCTGCACAGCTCATCCTCCAGCTCCTCCTCCCGGGTGAACGCCACCACGTCGGGGGCGCTGATCATATTTCCCTCAGGACGGGACCGACATGGAGCAGCGAGGCCCCG